CCCCCCGCCCTCCCCTCAGGTGGCGAAAAAAGCGGGAAAGGAGCGGCACGCGCGCCCCCTACCCCTTCCCCTCAGGAGGAAAAATGGCGCCAGGCACTGCGTTCCAGCGCTGGAAAAAGACGCAAAMCACCCCAAACTGACTCACAATGGCCCATTTCACCCTTCCCATCGCCTTAATAGCGGTTATTTGAAGCACCTGCGCTGCCCTCATCATCTGTGATGCACTGCCAGGAGCCTTCCCAAAGGTGGAAGAAGAGGTGGCAAAATGGCGGTGGAAGCTGAGGAGAGCTTGGTGCCTGCAGCCACCCGGGGCCCAGCATTTGGATATGAGGGGACCCCACAACCCCAGCGAGACCTTCATTCCCTGCATATACAGCTGAGGGTTTCATGAAGGGTAAGGGGCATAAATTTGGGGAAGCACTCTGTACCTTTTGGGGGGTGTATTGATAGGGTTTTGGGGAGTGTGTGGGATGCCCAGAGTGGCTTTTGGGGTGCTCTGGAGGGTTAGGGGGTTCCTTTAGTGTCAAGGTGGGGTGCTATAGGGATTGGGGAGACGGTGGAGTTGGAGAGGGAGTGCCCTCAATAATGGGGATGCACACCCCAGTGTTGAACCCAACCTTGATCCCAATTTTTGGGTTCACTGAACAGCTGAGCACTCAATCTAATGAATCAACTATAAAAGCAGGGCTTCACTCAAATTTGGGGGGGTTCTATATTCCCACTCACCCACCCAGCTGTGARATGGGGTGAGACCTCCCAAAGCCTCCACAGGGACATGGGGACCCCCAAAAACATCCACATTTCAACCTCCTGCTTGAGAGACCCCCAGGACTCCCCAAACCACCTATAACACCCATCTCCCCCCAGTTCTTTTATTTCATAAAGGATTTCTTTTAACTATTTCTCACTTAAATGTTAGTATTTTTATTTCATTTGCAGACGCCTCAGAACTGCATGGCCGCTTCCAGTGTCTCTGACAGCTTTGTGGCAATTTTCTCTGTGGGATGGGGGTGATCAAGAATTTTGGGGAGTGTTAGAGGGGTTTGGGGTGGGTAAGGAAAAGGTGGTGTCTTCACTCACCTGCTCTTTTTTGCAGCTTTTTCCTCCTTTTTCCAGCTGCCCGCAGCCCCTGTCCCTGGAGCAGAGGGGGAAGCGCAGCCACCTCCTCCAGATTAGGGGCTCGGGGCACTGACTCCAACCCGGTGCCCCCCGATTTCACCCTGGGCTTCAGCTCCACCGTCATTGCACCAAGCTGAGGGGGATCAAACATTAACCCATTTCCTCTCCAAAACCTCCCCACCTCAGCAAATCCCTTCCCACCTCCAGGTTGCCGCTGTCGTCCTCCATGGCTTCTCCTCCTTCCTCCTCCTTCTCCTCCTCAGGATTGCCCGGGGACAGTCCAAGGCCCGTCACTGTCACAGGGACAGCTGTGGGGGGGGGAAGGTGAGATTTAGGGGGTCCCCAAAGGGTGCAGGGAGCGGGGGTCAGGTATTGCTCACCTGCCAGTGCCTCGGCATCGCCCCGTTCCAGCGCCTCCAGATCCAGCGCTGGCCCCAGCGCTGGCAGGATTTGGGCCGCGAGCTGCACCCCCTGCGATTTGGGGGGATGGGTGTAGTACGAGATCTTCCCGCTGAAGGAAAAAGGGGGAATCAGGATGTGGAGAGATCCCCCAAGGTCCCCCAAATGGGGTCACAGGGTGTTGAAAAAGCCCTCCTGTTCAAAAAAACAAGGTTCAGGGTATGGGGAGACCACACAGACCCCCAGAAATGGGGTCAGAGAGTGTGCAAAACCCCCACCAGCTCCCCATAAAGGGATCACTGGGTATGAATAAACATTTCCAAACCCTGAAAAAGGCGAGTCAGGGTGTAGGGGAGACCCCACATGCCTCCAAAAAAGGGTGAGGGTGTAGGAAGACTCCTCCACCCTCCCAAAAACGGTGTCAGGGTATGGAAATCTCCTCCAGCCCTCCAAAARGAGTGTCAGGGTGCAGGGATGCCCCCCACCGAAGCATCCTCCTGCCTCACGTACCTGGTCCAGTCGCGCAGCAGGGCCACAGCAGCAGCGTGGGCATCTGGCAGCCCCCCGGGGCGGAGCCGGCCCTGCCTTCGGGCCAAGTGGGCCAGGAACTGCAGGGGGTCAGTGCAGGGGGGGACCCCGTACTGCTCGCTCAGCTGTGGGGGGACACCGTGGTGTGGGATGGGGGGATGGATGCATAGGCCACTGTCACCCTGCTCCCCCTCTGTAGCCAAAATGGGGTGAAAAAGCTCAAAGTGGGAGTCCTATTCCTAAAATAATCTGATTTCCGCACTGTTACGGTGACAGGGGGTTGAGCCCTCTGTAATGGGGGGGGGGTAATGTTGAGCCCCCACCTTATCCCGATTTTAGGGTTCACTAAATTCCCCTGGGAGCTGAGCACTATATCTTCAGCACTATATCTGCTGAAGAAACATGATCCCCTCAAATTTGGAACCTCCCTGCCCATTGCCATGGCGATGGGGTACCCCACAAACCCCCAGCCCCTGTGGCTGCCCTGAGGGGTCCCCAACAGCCCAAGAKGGGGTCCCCACTCACCTGCTGGGTGGGGCAGCGGCGCAGGATGGCGCAGGCAGGGGTCAGGGGGTCCTGCAGGCGCTGTGGGGCCAGGGCCCCCCTCAGTGGAGCAGCAGCCGGGGGGTCCCCGGAGTCCAGCACCACACCGGGACAGTCCAGGAGCCGGATGTGCCGGTCCAGCTGCACGGCCTGCAGGCACCTGGGGACAGCATCTGCATGACACACCCACATCTGGATGGGGTCCCCATGCCACACCCACACACCTGGGCAGGGTGACCCCAGCCCCTCCCCTGGGTGGGACTCACCTGGTGACTCCGGGCATYGCCCCCACCCCACAGGCCCGGCTGCGCTTGAGGCTGTTGATGAGGCTGCTCTTGCCCACATTGGGGTACCCTGGGGCATAGGAGAGGTCAGAACAGTCCCCAAATCCCACCCCCTGCTCAGTGTCCACTTAACTCCCAGCCCTTCCTTTCACAAGCCCCTGCTCAACCCCCAGCCCCCCACTCAACCCCCCACTTCACTCACCCACGACCCCCACGGTGATGGAGGTTTTGGCCCCCCCGCAGCGGCCGTAGTTGCTCAGGATGTGCAGGAGGCTCTCGGCACCCACACAGGCCCCCCCTGCCAGCACCTCCTCGGGGGCTGTGGCCGCCGGCACCCGGCTCTGCTTCTGTGGAGGCACAGGAGGGTCAGGGGGAGCCCCTCACCCCCACCCCTCCCCCGGGCCTCCCAGCACCCACCAGATTTCGGCTCTGCTGYTGCGTGCAGGCCTTGAAGGCCACGGTGGGGAACTCGGTCCGGAGGTGCTTCAGCCACGCAGCCACCACATCCCGCGGCACCAGGTCTGTGTGGGAGGAGACACGGGAGCGTCCCCAGGGCTGTGGGGACAGGGRAACCCCRGGACCCCCCAAATCCACCTCCCTTCCCTCACCGATCTTGTTGAGGACAAGCACAAGGCGCTGGTGGGGCCGTAGGGCCCCCTCGAGTCGGGGGCTGCGGCAGCCCTGGGGGTCGCGGGCATCCAGCACCTCCAGCACCACATCAGATGCTGTCAACACCTGCCAGAAATGGGGTTCAGGTGGGAGGAGAGACCCTCCCCAAATCCCCCCAATCCCCCAGCACTGACCTTGCGCAGCTCCCGCCCAAACTGGCGCAGTGAGGCCTCATCCTGGGGTGTCTGGGAGGGCTCTTCCTCCTCTTCTTCCTTCTCCTGGGGGAACCTGTGTTACAGGGACCCCCCCCTTGGGGACAACCCCCGAGAGCCCCCTGCTTCCTGGGGTGACCCTCCTTCTCCAGGGAGCCATGCCCACTGTCCCCCACTTTCTGGGGAATCCCACCTTTCTCTGTGGAGACACTTCTGTCTGGGGAGCACCCCCATCCTGTGGGAGCCCCTCACCCTCCAGGGAACCCCCTCCTTGGGAAGCTCCTTTGCTCTTTTCAGGGAACCCACCCACCACAAATTCCCCACACCCTCTCTCCYGGGAACTCTTTTCTCCAAGAAGCCCTCCCCACTCCCCATAAAGCCCCCACCAAGCCCGGGGAGCCCCCCCGGATATTCCAGCCCCACCTGGCTCTGGAAGTTCCGCTGTCGCCGAAGAGCGTCCGCCTGGAGAGCGTCCAGGCCCCGGCGCTGCCCCACGGCCGCTCCCCGGGCCCCCTCTCGCCGCTGCTGCGCCTCCAGCGCCTGCGGGACATGCGAGGGGGTCACAGACCAAACACACCCCGGGTGAGACTGGGGGGGATACCCCAAATATCCCCCTCCTAGGGTCAACCGGGGGTGCCATACACCGAGCCCCCCGAACCCCGGGATCAGACCTGGGGGGGAATATCCCAAAATCCTCCCGGGGCCAGACCCCAAAGGCTCCGGTTCCTTACCCGTTTCTGCCGGGTCTCGTTCTGTTGCTGGACGTGGGCGGCGAAGCGGCCGAGCTGCGGCACCCCCGGGTCCTTCTTGTTCCCGGCGCGCGCCCGCCGGGCCTGGGGGCAACGCGGGGGTGGAAACACCGGGAGGGGATTAAACGGGGGTAAGGGACTGACACACACGGGGTGTCACACACGGCAGGAGGAACTGCACCCCCAAACCCGGCCGGTTCTCCCCGCCTCCCCTGAGCCAGGCTGGGGCTCACCTGGACACGCTTCTTYCGGCCCGCCTCCACCTGTCGCCCTGCAGGGAGGGGCGGAATGAGCTCGGGGGGCGGGGGAATCCACAAAGTCCCCCGAGGCCCCCCGGTGTTCTCCCGGACTCACGGGAGCGGGTCATGCTTTCCGTTCCACCACGCCGCCGGGGCTCTCTGGCGCCTCCTTTATACGTCACTTCCGGCGCAGCGGAAATTCATCCCACGAACGCGGCAGCGCCCGCCCATCACCACACCAAACATGGCGGCCAAACCATACATCCGCCACACTCAAGATGGCGACCACTGCGCCAACAGAACACTCA